TATTTTACAGTAGACATTAAAAAACTTTTACCATTCATGTCAGATAAACGTGACGCAGTAATTGGTGCTACAATGCCCGCATTTGTTTTCAGAGTGATTATTACCTTTCTTGACCATTGGTATCCACCCGACATGCTAGAAGCTACACAACTTTTGGATAATTCGATTGTCCTGGATGGAGCTGGTAAGTTCTGATGGTTTCGAACAAGAAATCGAAGGGGATTTTCGTCTGCTGACACTCCACTACTCCGTCCATATCCGGATTATATTGATATTTCGTAATGATAAGTAATTACTGTTAATTACTTCTATATGCTTCACTGGCTTGTATCCCGTTAGTCATTCTAAAGGGCACGTACGCCTTCAAATTGCCATTACCATACTGATTTTGAGCCAAATGCCACGAGAATTCCTTAGTGGAATTAATCAAGCAGAGGAGTTTACTCATATTTAGATCTGTAACTATGAATTCAAGGCTTGGATGAGGTACTCTAATCGGACATGGGAGAATCATAACGGCGATTCGAAGCGATGAGCGATCTCTAGATTGTACAAGGCCGGAGGTGGTGTAGTGGCGAGTGGTGCACCATCTCACCAAACGATCACGGGTTCGAATTCCGGATCGATATCCGCCTAGCTCACCAAATCTTCCATCCTTCCGTGATCGGGTAATTGGTGCCAGACCCGTGTGGGAGGATGAAAGCACTGACTTTTTCATCGGCTGGTCACCACAAGTCATTGAAGCCGCATACGCATTCATTACGCCACTACTTTTCTGAAAGGAAGTCGAATGCGGGTGAGCATCTCTCAGACGTGATTAATTATAGACGAACGACTTTATATTCGATACTAGAACGTGTACTGCAGTTCCTACCATATTTGGATGCATATGCATCCCTCTGGGGTCGATTTATTAGTAACGCAACGCATCCCTTAGCCCTTATCGTCTATGTAACATTCTGTGAGTAATGTGGCCTTGCTCAGCACACCTTTCCCAGATGATGTTAATACTCCACCCTAGCCCTACAAAAAATATTAGACACGGAAGGATATTTAGTTGTTGAGTACGTTACTGAAAGGGAGTTTACTGCCCACGCCTTTCAGTTTTCTGTGTAGATGGGGTACATAGTTGATCAGCTCCTTTTTCCCTCTGCTCGGGCTGTAGGAAGATGAAGGCTCCAGAAAATCAGAAGTAGCTTTTAATAATATAATCAATCCATCGTTAGATAAGTTCCCCGGAAATCACCAAAGTTCTGGTGGCAGTGTATTGTGTAAGGCAACGGAAAAAAGCATATTTACGTCAGGAAAAATGTATTCACGTGAAAAAANAAAAAATTATTTCAAAATTCAGAATTCATTAGTTCTGCATGCCTTGGAACTCCAACATGAAGTTTCTGAACATTTCAAAAAAATGCACAAATGTGAATAAAAAATTGTATGGCTAGCAGAGCGATGAGCTATGGATATATATTCGTAAGCGATTGAATAATCAATCACTGCTGACTAGGTCGCTATGAGGGAGTTTGGGATAAGTATGGAAATTATCGAGGACTTCAGTATTATTACTCGTATATAGTATACACAAAAGATTCTGATCGACTCTATGAATCAATCAGATATTCACCGACGACGATAGAATATTTCGCACCAGAACGAGGCGAGTAACAGTTTTCTCATTGCAAATGTATATCTTGTGCTTTATTAATACGTATTGTTATTGCCTTTTTATGGACTCGTACTGATATTGGTGCTGTTGTTTAGGAAAATTGTATCCCATTCATCATGTGGGCGCATTAAAGTTACATTTATCAAGGGTTTGTTACAGTTTATTTTTGTGAATTTCAGCATGATTGAGTTTTTCTTTCGCTAAACAAAGTTTTGAAGCTTCGCTTATATGAATGGTCAAGAAGTGAAGCTTCAATCGCCTGGAGCCATTTTGATCTTTTTATAATATTGTCACTCTTATTTATTTCTATCACATGTCCCTTGACATTTCTTTGAATGTTTCAGCCATTCTCATTTCTGACAACGGATGATAATAGTTTTTCTCTACTATTAAAGAAGGAAAGAGTGGGCGAAAACGCAACAGCTGTCGATATAAACACGAACAAAACGAGATACTTCCTTATTTCTGCAAGTGGAACGGAACGTTGTCCCGTTCATATATCTTGGGTACGAAAGTCTATCTCATTCGAGCTTTCCTAGGTAGTAATTTCGGTTTTCTGCTGAAGACGCTTTTCCTGGGCGATGTAGACGATTCGTCCTGAACTTTACCAACATGTAGTATTCTCCTTCATATAACATGCTAGAATTATGTATATGTATGTGTATATGTGTGCATGTATGTGTATATGTGTGTATGTATGTGTGTGTATGTGTGTGTATGTATGTATGTATGTGTGTATGTGTGTGTGGGCGTGTGTGTGGGCGTGTGTGTGGGTGTGTGTGTGTGTGAGTGTCAACTTCAACCAAGAACGAGTCGGGTTTTTCTCCTCTATGTAATTTTGGATGCTCAATATCACCTTTGTAACTAATGTGGAACGTTTTTTTTCGGAACATTTCTCTCAGATTGCCCTGTCAACAGAGGCTTTGTCCCACCACCTGCATAGGCCGCCAGCGGAAGTACCTTGTGAGGCCTAATAAATAGAATCAAATTATGCATTCAGGCACAGTACTCTCCTCCCTCCAAAATCTACATATGCTCTACCAGCCAGTATATCGCCCTCATTCAAAGAAAAGAGAGTAGATGTGCTGCTGTGTCAGCTGCTATGTTAATAACTGCCACGATCTAATTGGGCTGTTCGGGATCTAGTCCCGAAGAGATGACCATTCATGGCGTATCTCAACTTGCACCCAAGAATATATTGCACCCGATGTCGACGTGCCCTCAGCGAGCAGTCATCATCCCATAAAGCAGAAAATCCTAATACCACATAAAACAAGGCTTGGCTATCTTTTTCCAAATGACCAGAGACAGCAAAAGTTTTGCTCGGTTTAAAGGGGTTAATTCTTGTCCTCTTCATCAATCGCACATAAGGTGGTCGGCTATGAAGATTGAGAAGACTGTAAGGTGGACATGCAGAGAGAACGTCGCTCATGTATCACAATGCAGTTTAAAAGCACAGTCCACGATACTTTTCAAACATCTTTTAAGGTCAAAAAGTGGATGTATTGGTTGAGAATAGTGCATCGGCGGAAAATGAACGAAAAAATCTGCCGAATTGCGGGTGACAAGAATTTGTAAAAGTATTGAAGATGGGGTTATGCGAGGTTATGGCATACTATAAGGGAAACGACATGGAAGGAGCATTCGACGGAGAGATCACTTCATTGAGCTTAAATTGCCCAGAACTGCTTTCACCTTTCGCCAAGTTGGGTCACGTTAAGTTGTTTGAAATTCCTGCATTGGTGTCCCTCGTGCATGGTGCAGCCTCTACAAAGCCATCCTATTTACTATAAAGCGCTTTGTCTGTCTGTCTGTCCGTCTGTGTGTCGTATGTCTTCACGAAATTCCTTAGCTCCTTTAGATCTGCCTGGAGAAACCGGGTCAAGCGTGGCATGGGTGGGTCATATCCCGAAAAGTATCGAGCACACATCAACTTGGCGGAGCTCCGCCCTGGCGTGCATCGAAATGAGCTGTACTGAGGACCATGATTTCAAATTCAGTCACAAGACGGTTTCAAAACCGGGGTTTAAAGATGGCTAGAGCATGGGTAAGTTAGGTCGAACTGGGAAGACCCAACCCCGATGGGGGAGCGTTCTCCGAAAATGCAATGCTTTATGAAAACATTTATAACTCGGTTTGGAGAAAGCCAACAGAGCAGGAAAAAGTTGACGTAGGAGCAGCATCGTCGTGGGTGTCTTCAGCATAAATAACGTCGGCCCGCCCACAATGGGCGGAGGGTGCCTCGAAGCTTGCGTCGTTTCTTACATATTTATACGAAAATTCACAACTCCTGTCCCCATGGACCTAGAAAGTTCAGACTTGGTAGGAGCACAGGCGACAGATGGGAACACTTATGGTGGGTGGCAGAACCGGACTCCACCCACAAGGGGCCAGTGGGCGGGGTTTGAGCGGAAATTCGTAACTCCTGTTCCTGTGGACCTAGAACGCTCAAGTTTGATGGGTGGTGCAGGCGGGGAGGCCATTTTAACACGGGAAGGATTGGAGCCCGACGTAAGCCAGGCGAGCCTATATATTGTGTATGCAGAAGTGTTGCTTTGAAAAATTACTTGTTTCAAAATCAAGTGTTATGCACACCATGCTAATACTTCGACCGAGCTGGACAAACTTCTCTATTACACATCATACACCCGTCTTGAACTGCTTGCCGGTTCGTTCGAACTTTCGTGATCTAGCGAAAAAAATCCAAGCTTCCCATGAGACAAAAAAATGATGGCCGCTACAGAAGTGTCAGGGAAGAGGCTCAGATAATAAAGGTCTATAATGAAAATCAGATGCTCATGTGGCTCCGTCCCTTATGGCTAGAGCTCCCAGCGCACGCAATAGCGTGCGTAGCCGCCTGGTGCCTTAATACCACAAGGTATACGAGAGGACAATAAAATTTGTTCTGCCATTTTTATCATAAATTGTGCCTCAGAGAACTTTGGTCCACACACAAATATAATGTGATCAATAGGACCATAGGATTATCTGATAGTACGAATAGATGCTTTTTGGGTTAGTTATCGTTCAGTCTCCATTTTACTACAGTCATTGTTTTCACTTTAAGATGAGCGAACACGCCGCTCCTTGGACAAGATCATCACCCATTCCCCAATTAGGACTACCAAAAAAGGAACGGGAAAGAATTACAGTACTCCGCGACATTGTTATTGCATGCATCGTAATTGTATGGTAAGTCATACTGTGAGAATATTTATAGCAATATAAGCAGCTGACCACTCATTCCCTAGTAAATACCCATGTGGGGTGGGTGTGGTGTAGAGGCAATTAGCACTGTAACTCTGCATGGGCTGGAAATTGAAGCCGAGTTGATGGCATCCAGTCTAACCAAGCCTTCCATAGAGGGAATGAGGGTCTTTTAATCGGTGCTATACTTGTCTAGGAGAATAAAAGCATGTACATCAGCCATGGGCTACATACTCATTCAAATCCCAAATGGAAGCCGAATACTGGTGGTACATCTCAGAACAAGATTGACTAACGTCAAAAGGACGGACCTACACTGATC